TCTATGTATTGTGATGAATTGTATGAGCCCCAATAAATTGATTAAAAAAAAAAAAGAAAAGAAACAATGTAGCCACCAGATAAATTCAAAGACCCACCAGGGCCACCGTAAAAAAAAAAAAATTCCATTGTATGGATGTAGCAGAGTTTTCCATTCCTCTATAATTAGAAGTTTTGGACTCCATGTTTTTGAAATTATGGAAATTATTGCAATAAGCATAGATATGCATATGTCAACATTGGGGATTGTCGGTTTTTTGCTTTCACTGGTTTTTTTTAATCATTGTATTGGGGGCTCATATAGCTCTTATCACCATCCATCCATCCATCCATGTTGTCAAGCTCATTTGTACATCATTTGGGTTCTTTTTAAGTAACAGTGTCAATATGATGAAAGTATTTAATAGATGTACTTTTTTTTCTTTAAAAGAAGTCATTTTATTGGCGGCACTTAGAGATCTTATAATATTCCATACATCAATTGTATCCAGCATAATATATATACTTTTCAAGGAGACAGGGAAACCCTGGGACGGTGAGATGGATCACCTTTCTAGTCAGGGTCTTGTAACACCCACCAAATGATTGGATTAAAAACAAACAAACAGAAAAACCACTGAGTCGATTCTGACTAGTAGCAGCCCTATAGGACAGGGTAGAACTTCCCCTGGGGGGTTCTGAGGCTGCCAGTCTTTACGGGACTAGAAAACAACATAGTTTTCCAATGGAGTGGCCAGTGGTTTCCAACTGCTGATCATGAGGTTAATGGCCCAATAACTATAACTATTACAAATAAAAACATGTTACCTCTAAAGTGTGAGTTCTGAAGATAATTTAAGGAAAGATAGATCTGCCTTGACTTTGCCTATTTTAGCCAAAGAATTTCTTCTGAACACTCACCTACATGTAAAAGATGACAATGTTGCTAGGTGGCACATAAAAATATTACTCGTCGAGAGTTATCCACTGAAATGCTTACTGGAAAATGAGATTGTTGGTCTTCTCTGCCCTAGGAGCAGCTCGCCTGCTACTGCCCCTCATCCCCTAAAATTGCACGCCTGCGCCAAATTCGTCCCCACCCCTTCCCTGGTCAGGAGCACCTCCCAGCTGCTGAGCTGACCACTGTCTGTGTTGGTGCAGAAACGCCCCGAGACACTGACGGACGAGCGCTTCAGCAGCTTGACAGCCGCACGTCCCCTGACCTCACTCATCCCTAGTCGCAGCTTCCGAACCAGCACCGTCTCAAGGGACACTGACGCAGCCGCCAAGGTCATTGGGGCCGGGATGCCACAGTTGGAGTGGCGGGCTCTGGAGCTGGCATTGGGACTGTGCTTGGGGGCCTCATCCTTGGTGATGCCAGGACCCCTGCTCTGAAGCAGCAGCTCTTCTCCTACGCCCTCCTGGGCTGTGCCCTCTCGGAGGCCAGGGGGCTTTTCTGCCTCTTCGCCATGTGAAGGACCCTTCTTCACCTCCCATAGTTCTCTGCCTCACGTCTCGTCTGCCCTATACTGTATGTTGCTTTCCCTGCACCTCCCCAGGCAGCCTGGGGATAGAAATTGGCTAAGGGTTTGACAGAGGGAAGACAAGTGAATACGTACTGTATTAATAAAGATGGGGGGAAAAAAGAAAGAAAATGAGATTGTTTTAAAATAGTCTCTTGGAGGGAAGACAAAGGTCCTGAGTTGACCATTGTTAAAGCTGGACAATCGATACAGGAAATACATTATATCCCCATTTCCCTGTCTGTCTGTAAGGAGCCCTGGTAGTGTAGTGGGTTACATGTCAGGCTGCCAACCTCAAGGTCAGCAGTTCAAACCCACCAGCCAAAGATGAGGCTCTCTTCTCCTCTAAAGATTTACAGTCTTGGCAACCCAAAGAAGCAGTTCCACTCTGTCATATGGGATCGCTGTGCGTCTGAGTCCACTGAATGGCCGTGGTATTTTTGTGTGTGTCTTAAAGTGTTCCTATAAAAAGGTTAAAACACAAGCATACGTACACATGCTCAAGTAAATATTGTTTCGTTTAAATAAGATACTTGTCCTCTACACTCATCAACGTTCTGAGATTGAACTAAGAAATAATCGGGGTGAATCTGCTGTGTTTCGGAGCAGTTCGGACCAACTTCATTTTACAGGGTAGCCACTCCCTCCTGCCCATCACTAAGAACCAGCAAAGTCTGCCACTCGTAGCGTGAAAACCTCCCGGGACTGTGCAGAATTGCAGACCCATGCACTACTTGTCCTTTTGTGTTTGGCTCATTTTACTCGGCACGAAGTGCTCCGGTTCGTCCAGGCTCTGGAGGGGTTGTATGGATTCATCGCTGTTCGGTACCACTTCATAGTGTCCCGGTAAAGGTGATCTCGTCGTTATTCTAATAATGGACATTGAGGATGTGTCCATCTTTTTGCAATTGTGACGAGTGTTGTGATGAACATGGGTGTACATATGTATGCTATGGGTCTTGTTTCTTAGGGTATATACGAAATAGAGGGATTGCTAGGTCATAGGTTATTTCCAAATTTTTGAAGCAGTGCCACACCACTCTCCACAGGGGTTGTAGTGTTTGACTGACCTACCAGCAGCGTATGAGAGTTCCAAATAACATTTGTGGTTTCCTGTTTCATGAATCTTCCTGTCAATGCTAGGGTGAGGTGCTGCCTCAGCATTGCTTAGATTTGCATCTCTCGAATGGTCAATGTGTTCGTTACCCCCCCGGAATGTGCTCATTAGTGAACTGTTTCTCTGACCACTTAATTGGATTATCCATCTTTTTCTTGTTGAGAGGCTTTATAAAGATTTTAAAGATTAGTCCCTTGACAAAAATTTCCCCTACTCTATGAGTTCTCTTTTCCCTTTGTTAGTGAAGTCTTTTTTTGTTTGTTTGTTTAATCATCAATTGCACAATTTTATTTCACTGTGGTTGCATGTATTTTCTTTTTTTTCTTTTTCTTTTTTTTTAACATTTTATTAGGGGCTCATACAACTGTTATCCCAATCCATACACACATCAATTGTGTAAAGCGCATTTGTACATCGTTTCTCAAAACATTTTCTCTCCATTTAAACCCCCGACATTAGGTCCTCATTTTTCCCCTCCCTCCCTGCTCCCCCCTCCCAGTTAGTGAAGTCTTTTGATGAACATAAGGGTCTTATTGTTAGGAGATCCCAGCCATCAATTTTGCCTCGTGTGTGTGTGTGTGTGTGTGTGTGTGTGTGTGTGTGTGTTTCTTAGATCTGATAGTATAGGTTTTGGTTTTGTTGTTGTTGTTGTTGTTGCTGTTGCTGCTGCCGTTATGGTGAGGTGAATTCCTGAGTGATATATATTTTATCCACTTGACCCCCAAAGAGACTAGTTTGGTTTGGAAAAACAGAGACCAGAGTGTGAAATATCAGCCTGTTCATTTCTGTTTGGGGTTCGAGTGCTTTAGGCCAATCTGGTGGGGAGACCGATACTTCGAGCTGATCAGGATCCCTCTGAGGCAGTTCCTGCTCTTTTCCTCTCTTGGGCTAGCTTTCTATTCTGGACTTACTTGCCCAGGGACAGGATGCTTGAAGAAAGAAGGTATGATTTTTATGCAAAGATCTAGCTTTTATCCATTGTTTATGCCTGGGTTTCTTTCTGTTTTCAGATGGGTGAGTCTAATGATGATATCGACCAAATGTTCAGCAATTTGCTGGGAGAGATGGATCTGCTAACCCAGGTAAACTCCCCTTCTTAACTTTCAAGTTGTAAAAAAAAAAAAATGTGACTACAGAATTGGATTTTAATATGATGAATGATCTGAATGAGCTGTCTTTACAAAGCAACAACTAGAAATTGACAATGTTACGTATTTGTGATTTAACTGTTGACAGGGGTAAGGGAAAAATTAAGCTTTTTCCTGATTATACCTTTCTGAGTTAAGTCCAAACATGGATTACACATAGGAGGAGACTTGAAAAAAAAATCCTGGAAAGATTCATTGAAAGATAATGGGTTTTTTCCATCAACTTTTTCCAAGCCCCTCCATACATTCCATTCTATCAGTGGTTGTGTTCATCATGGTCAAATAGTTGGGCAATAGAAACATTTTCCTGAAGCATAATTTCACAGATACCCCCATGAACAATTTCCTCTGGGGTTACACATTATTAAGGTGAACTAAATTACATGATCTTTAGTAAAGGTGTTTTTTTTTTTTACCAACTATTGAGGCATGACTATATTCTAAAAGACAAGTGAGAATTCCTGTGGCCTCCTCATTCAACATAAGAACTTAGCCCCCGCCATGTACGGACCCAGAGATCACCCTCACTGTCAGACAGACAGGAGCCCCGTAGCTGCCAAGGAAAAGACCATTGACCCAGACTAATAGCGTTCACTTCACCAAGTCATGTGAACTTTGATATGTCAAATAATCTTATAAATGATTATTAGTTCAGGAAGTAGAACTCATCAATTTCTACACAAATTATAAAAATATGAATAGCCTAATATTCATAAACAGGATAGGAACTCTTAAACGTTTTCTATAAAATAAATGAAGACTCATCTATGCTTCCACCACTCGTCTGTCAGCTTGTCGTCCTGTGGTAACTTGTGGGATGCTGGAAGTTATGTCACTCGTATTTCAAATACCAGTAGGGTCATCAAAGTTGAACAGGTCTCAGCAGAGCTTCCAGATTAAGAACAGACTGTGAAGAAGGAATAGATTGTTCACTCTGATGAATTGGCCACTAAAAACCTGAACGCGTCAGACACGAAAACCTGATGGATTGCAGAGGAACGTGGTCCGAGACAGTGCCCGAAGAGCAGCCTCCTCAGACTGAAAGGCTCTCAGAATACATCTGAGCAAGAGCTGCCTCCTCTATAAAGCAAATGCTCCCATCGTACAGCAGAGGGAGGGAAGCCTTCGGGGCCTTTGTTTGCTGAGAGGGCCCGATTCCAAATGAGAAGAAGCAGCGGCAAATGCCTGTGAATAATTGGAATTGGGAATGTGCAAAGCAGGGATCAAGGGAAATTAGAAATCGTCAAAAATGAAACAGAATGTAAAAAGATCAATATCCTAAGCATTTGTGCACTGAAATGGGCTAATACTGGCCATTTTTAAATCAAAGTCATATGGTTTACTATGCTGGGAATGACAGATTCAAGATGAATGGAATGGCATCACATTGGCCATCCAAAAGGACATTTCAAGATCTATCTTGCAGTATATTGCTGTCTGTGATCCAGTAATATCTATTCTATACAATATCTATACAAGGAAATCCAGTCAACAGAAGTATTATTCAACTTTACACACCAACCACTAAAGCTAGTGATGAAGAAATTAAAGAAGCCTGCCAATATCTTCGGTCTGAAATTGATCAAATGTGCAATCAAGATGCATTGATAAATAATGGAGATTGGAATGAAAAAGTTGGAAACAAACAGGAAGGAGTAGTAGTTGGAAAATAGGGCCTTGATAATGGAGACAGAGTTGGAGATGTTATGATAAATTTTGCAAGACCAATGACATCATCATCACAAATACTTATTTCAGCAATTGGTGACTATGCACATGGACTTCTCCAGATGGAAGACATGGAAATCAAATTGACTACGTCTGCAGGAAGACACAATGGAGAAGCTCAATATCAGCAGCTAAAACCAGACTAGGGGCCAACTGTGGAACAGACCATCAATTGCTCAGATCTAAGTTCAGGATAAAACTGAAGGTTAAAACAAATCCACATGAGTTAAAGTACGACCTTGAGCCTATCCCACTTAAATTTCAAGAGCATTTCAAGCACAGGGTTGTTATACTGCACACTAAGGACAGAAGACCCGAGGAGCTGTGGGAGGACATCAAGAACATTATTCAGGAAGAAAGTAAAAGGCAATTAAAAAGACAGGAGAAAAGAAAAATTCAAAGTGCATATCAGAAAAGACTCTGCAACTTGCTTTTAATCATAGTTGCTAAGTGTGGCAGTTACATAATCTCTTGTCAACTTGTGAAGGGTGGAGTCTAGCACGTCAATCAGGTCGCAGCTTGATGACCTCATTTGGAGGCACTAAAGAGAAAAATAGCTCTCTGGAGGCCAGATACACAGACACTCCCTGCGAGACATTCCTGCTGACAAGACACATGGAGCTATGCTAGAGCCCTGGAGCTGGAGGAGCCACATGGAGACCCATGCCAGTGCTAAGATGCTTACACCACCACTGGATCTACAAGACTTTCCACCCACTGGCCTGTGATCTCCCTGAATTCAGCATCATTGCATGTGTTTTGTGAGTCTAAAGAGGAATTTATAGATTGGTATCAGACATATGGGCTAATATCAGACTTATGGACTTGATCTGGACTGGACTAGGATGTTTTCTCAATATTGACTTGCTCTTGTATGTAAAGCTCTTTCTTATAGACATATGAGTGTCTCCCTAGATTTGTTTCTCTAGTCAACCTGGACTAGCACACTAAGGCAAATGGAAGAAATGATGAAGTAAATGAGCTAAACAGAACATTTCAAAGGGTATCTTGAGAAGACAAAGTAAAGTCGTATGATGAAATGTGTAAAAAACCAACACGGAAGACCACACTCACATACGTCAAACTAAAGAACTAGAGGGACACAACCAAGTCTCCGTTTCATTATTGAAGGTCTGTGGGCAAAATATTGAAAGATGCAGGAAGCATCAAAAGAAGACAGAAAGAATACACACAGAGTCACTGGTAAAAACAAACAAACAAACAAAACTAGTCAACATTCAACCATTTCAAGAGCTAGCATATAACCAAGAGCCAATGATATTGATGGATGAAGTTCAAGCTGAACTGAATACATTACCCAAAAACAAGGGTCCAGGAACTGACAGAATACCAACTGAAGGGTTTCAACAAGCTAATGAAGCACTCAAAGCACTCACTTGTCTATACCAAGAAATTGGGAAGCCAGCTACCTGGCCAAATAACTGGAGGAGATACACAATTGAACCCACTCCAAATAAGGGTGACCCAACAGAATGCACAAATAATAGAACAATGCCATTGATATCACATGCAAGTAAAACTATTGCAAAAGATCATCTGACAACCATTGTGACAGTGCATCGACAAGGAGCTGCCAGAAACTCAGACCAGGCTCAAAAGAGGACATGGAACAAGGGATATCATTGCTGATGTCAGATGGATCTTGGTGAAGGTAGAGAATACCAGAAAGATATTTACTTGTGTGTGTGTGTGTGTGTGTGTGTGTGTGTGTTTAATCTATTGTAGCAATTTTTTAAAAATCATTTTATTGGGGGCTCATACAACTATTATCACAATCCATTCATACAATGATTGTGTCAAGCACATTTGTACATTTGTTGCCATCATCAGTCTCAAAACATTTGCTTTCTACTTGAACCCTTGGTATCAGCTCCTCATTTTTTCCCTTCCCTCCCCACTCCTTCCCCTCTCATGAACCCTTGATAATTTATAAATTATTATTATTTTGTCATATCTTACACCATCCAACGTCTCCCTTCACCCACTTTTAAGCTGTCCGTCCCCCGGGGAGGAGGTTATATGTAGATCCTTATAATTGGCTCCCCATTTCTATCCCACCCTCCCGGTATTGCCACTCTCAGCACTGGTCCTGAAGGGATCATCTGCCCTGGATTCCCTGTGTTTCCAGTTCCTATCTGTACCAGTGTATACCCTCTGGTCTAGCCAGATTTGTAAGGTAGAA